TCATGGGGGGGGGGGGGGAGAGTGTTTGATTATTGAAATGACCAAGATTCACACACCCTCTCACTGCAGTACAACCTGACGTGTGTGTGTGTGTGTGTGTGTGTGTGTGTGTGTGTGTGTGTGTGTGTGTGTGTGTGTGTGTGTGTGTGTGTGTGTGTGTGTGTGTGTGTCTCTGTTGTGTGTGTGTGTGTGTGTCTGTGTCTGTGTCTGTGTGTGTGTNACGTGTTCAAACAGGTCGTACACAAAGTCCAACCTGACACACAGAGAGAGAGAGAGAGAGAGAGATATAGGAATATACAGAGAATACACACTAACAAGAAAATACAGATGCAGGGCAAGAGCTTCAGAATGAAATAGTTACTTCAGCTAAAAAGACCCCTAGACCCCCGAGAGAGTAGACAAACTTTATTTGATGAAGTGCAAAAACACGTTTAAATTAATACAATAGTTTTTGTACTTGATAGTTCAGTTTTTCTTGAAGTGTAAACCTTTCTGCTTTTCTATTTGTTATTCTTCTAATTATTATTTGTAAAGCACCTTTCAAAATAAAAGTTTATTACGGAAAATAACACATTTATTCTTTGTGATATTCAGCAAAAATCGCATTTTGAAAGTGATTTGCAAATTGACATTGAGCTGAGCAGACATGGAAGGAAAGTTGTTATCATTGAGAGAAGGTTGTCAGATTGCCCCACGCCACTGAGCAAGGCATCTAATCCCTATGTATTATAAAGTTATGATGACATCAGCGTACCTGCTCTCTCTCAGCAGGTTGAGGATGTCGTCTCTGAAAGTGTCTCTGTTCTTCTCCAGCATGCCCCGAACATCGTACAGCACCTGAACTCACCACAGGGGGGCGCCACAGGAGCACAATAACAAGCATTCATTAGTTTAGAGAATATTTGAAGGAGAGTCCTAAAACCTGCACATCTTTTACAGCAAACATAAAGGCTCTCACCTCTCCTGCGTAGTGCCGGACTCCAAAGTTGTGCACGGCCACTCGAGGCTTCACGTAGAAGGAGTTTTTCTGCAGAAAGAGACAGAAAACTGTTTGATTACTTTCAAAAAACTAATCACAGATAAAAAGACTACGAATATTTTCTATCCCAAATCATAAACTGTATGCTAATCTATCAAACTGGCAATTTATAGAAATAGTAATCACCGCAATAAACCGTATTTGATGTTGTCTTAATGTACATGATTTAATTTCATATTCTGTTCTTGGACATATCATATTCTATTTACATGTATATAGACTTCTTGCACTGCTTTTCATTTAGTATTTTATTATAAATGTTGCATTGTTGGAGGAGCTCAGGTCAGAATAATTTCAGTGCCATTTCTACACTGTAGCTTAGAGCACAATAAACCTTTGAATTGAATTAAATAAAGGAGTTCAAGCCGTACATCTCTAATAATGTGAGTATTTGAGTCGTACCGAGGCTGACTGGCAGTTCTCCAGTTAAAGTGCCAGTCTGTGGCTTTGGGGAAGTGACTCTCCTCGTTCACAGCGCCAGCCGACCAGTTTCTGTGGGAAAAGACAACGGACAAATTTAGCAGAGAAAGATTAATGTAGATGGCTACGTATGCAAAGAAACATGTTCTATTTCTTTCTATAGTTCAATATATATATATTTGTTTACGCTGCTATGGACAGTCTGCACTTAAATGTACATTCTCAAAGATTGAATGACTGTTATTTTGTATATATTTGATTGTTTGTGCTTATTAGTCTTAAAGGGACTATCATGCAATGGTATCAACATGTGTCCCGGTGTGTCGGGGAACTCACGCAAGCGTCAGCAAATAAAACCCTCTCTCTTTTCCTCCGTACCCAATCTCTAAAAACGTGGGAACAACGGAGCTGATCGCAGATTTGCGTCCGGATATGAGCTAATACTGAAATGTGGACCCACGGCTCTATCAGAAACGTTGCTATCAAGAAACAATGCCCGACTGCTTGGACGTAATATGGTCGGTGTTCACATTAGCATCGCTAAACCTCAGAGCTACCTGTACTGGAGAGCATTGTGTTGAAGAAGCAGGAATAAAAAGGACTCACTTTGTGGTAAACCGGCAAGAGTGAAAGCCTTTGAGCTCCATACTGTTTCAGAGATACATCCTGATAAATCCATGATATGGCGTTTACCATCACGGGCAGCATTTAGTTTATGACAGTAGCTGCCGCGGTCCCGCATGAGCTCAGCCCCCCCCTTTTTGATTTTAAAGCTTTGATACCCAAATCGAGCACTTTAGGAGAACAGGAAGTGAGAATAGTAGGGATATGAAAGGCATGGCTAGAATGGTGATACTGTTTGGTATTTTGAGCAAAACCACTTCATAGAGCATTTTTTTATATATTTGGTAACCGTAATTTTCGGACCTATAAGGTGCACGGTTGTTTTTTGTTTTTTGTTGTGGCTGAATATAAGCTGCAGCAGGCCATACCACTCTCGGTTCCACTTTGACTTTTGCGACCTGTCCTCAACTCTTTTCGGCCTCCAGCTTTTCCTGCTGGAACCCGCCGCTTAAGGTGGGGGTCCGCGGACACGGGCCATAGAGGCCCATAGAGCCCATAGCAGTTAAAGGTGGGGGGGCGCGGACCGCCATTAGAGCCCATAGAGTTAAAGGTGTTGGCCGTTAGCTGTAAGAATCCATAGATTAGCCGCACCGTGTATAAAGCCGCAGCGTCGAAAAATAGAAAAGGCGCGGTGGCCGAAAATACGGTATATTGAGACCTATGCTATTGCCTACAACAGCATGATAGGGACCTTAAAGTTATGTATAAATGTTGATTGTGTTATATACATATTTATTACATTTCTTTTTGTTTTTGTATTCTGGATTGTGGAAACAGTTTCTCTCTTGTCTGTACACACACTCTGAAAGATGACAATTAAGTTGACTTAGAATAACTGTTGTTATTGTTGTTTATTTGGAATATAAAACATTGGGGAAATAGACAGTATGAAAATGACTATAAGCCAAAGTAACTTTCTGATGTATAAGGACCATTTTGCATATGGATAATTAAAGAAATGTCTTGAATTACGGGAATTAAAAGACTTGTTGACCTTAAATGTATAACGTCCGCTGCAGAAGGAAAAGGTTTTGATAAATAAGCTCTACCTTCTCGATGAGATCCAGGCACTCTCCGTTATCCATCCAGTTGATGTCCACCCAAACCGACCTTCCCTGCAGACACCAGGACATCACTTAATCTCTTTTGAGTCACGCTCATAGGACTAAGCACCGAACTGGGAGGACAGAGTCCTTCTCCGTGAAAATCTCACCATTTCAAAACACAGAGCTCCACCTTTCAGAACTGCTTTATCTGTTATAATGCGTGTTTTAGGGTTAGTACGTTAGGTTATGTTGGTTATAGTAGTTGTTTTGGTTCAGTTGGCAGGGTTAATGTGTTGTTTAATGATGTTATTTTACTTTGTACAAGTGTCTTTGAGTTTCCAGAAAATCGTTCTATCATAGAAAAATGCATATTCGAAGCAAACAGCCAAATGTATTTAAAGTCTTGTAGAATTTGTATAAAATAACGACACATTTTAGAAACTTCTGAGTCCAAATCAACCTCCACCTACCTTGTTACTCGAGCTGCTCCAGGAGGGGAAAATGTGCTGGTTGTTGAAATATTCCTGCAGCTTTTCGTTTGCCATAGTTTGAATGTTGAACATGCTCGAAGCGGTTCAGCCTGTTGGACAACATCGGGGGGGGAATATCAACATTTCCACTTTAAATTCTTATATCAATATTTCTTATTTTGCTTTATTTAATTTTGAATTCGACCCAAAACAAATGAGAATTTGGATTTTCATTTTTGTTATTTTGCATCTTATTATGTTACTGAGCAAGATGTGACATATGTAAGAACTATGGTGAATTTAGACTTTAGATATGCCATCTACACATTTCAAATGGACAAAGTGCGTGTTAACCCAGAAATGCTTTTTTTTTTGGCAGATTAACACCAATATTACTCATATAATAGACCCGTACTACACCATTATTACTTGTAATATACCCATATTACCAAGATTTTGAAGTTTCTTTCCCCTACTCTGACAAACAAAACACAAAGGAAACTTCTCAACCAGAGCATCAATATAAATAAAAATCCCACAGTGTGTGTGTGTGGAGAACACAATGTTAGCATCTGTGCGGTTATGGTTGTTTTCATGGCAGTATTCTTTGGAGCTCCTCCGTTGTTTGGGTCATGAGTTCGTGAGAGTGATGTAGTGCGCTGTGGATTTATTGAAGCTCTGGTTGGAGAGTTGTGGCGACTTCATTTTGTGTATGTCAGGTAGCGGGAGGTGGGACATGTCGAGAGTCTGCTGGGGTGAAGATATGTGGGGTGTAGGGGAGGAGTTCGCTAGTGAGATTATGATGAATGATGTCAGTACGGTTTCTATTTTGTGTGATGTGAGATATTGGTTAGTTCGTGACCATATAGTAGAGGAGAACACGTGTTCTCGGGATAACTGGTGTCTATGTTGATGATATTGGATAGAGTGTGGAATGATCGTGTAAAGAGGATTGCGACCATGTAGTTTTAGTGATGAATTGCCTGTCAGATAATTGTGCATACATACGATAAGAAATGCGCAAAAATATCAGAGAATGAAAATCCAGAAATCTCAGTTTGTTTGGGTCGAATTTCAAATATAAATTAAAGCAAATGTAGAACATAAAGTTGATAGTAGAAGAGAATATTGTAAGTGGAGATGGAGGACTATGAATGTGTCCATACCGCTTCGAGCCAGCTTCTAGTAGCATCGTACGATATTGCGCAAGAGACGAGAACTGAGAAGTGGGGGAGGAGAATTGTGTGTGAGGACGAGGGAGGATGAGATGGTTCACAAGCACTGTTGTCTCCCTGTGGGGTGCAGCGTCGGAAGTAAGCAGAAGGTGTAAGGTGGAGAGAGTGCGTGATGTCTGTTGGATCTACAAGAAAGCGTTCTTAATCATAAAGTTGTGTCAGTTCTATGGATCTAATTGTTCTTACTCAATATGCCTATAGACAGACTTTAATAATACAGTATATTGCGGTGCTGTCGCAAAGCTTAATACTTCTCTGTTCCTGTATATAGACGCTTTTGTCTGAATACTCTCTCACAAGTAACTCACGTTGAACAAAGTAAGATTGATTGCGGTAGACTATTATGTAAAATAGACACTTACTGTAACCTGCAACGTAACAACAACCGTAACTACTAACCAACAACTAACTACTAACCTAAAACACAGCATTAATAACAGATTAAATCAGTTCTGAAAGTGAGCTCTGTGATTTTGAACATTTTGAGATTTTCACGGAGAAGCTCGCTGTCTCCCAGTTCCGGTGCTTAGTTCCCCCCCTATGAGGTACCAAAGAGATTAAAGTGATGTCCGTGTCTGCAGGGAAGGTCGTGGTTCTGGGTGGACATCAACTGGATGGATAACGCGAGAGTGGCTGGATCTCATCAGTAAGTTACGAAGCTTATTTAAACACCTTTTCGCTTCTGCACCAGACTCGGGTATAGTGACTTCATAAGCGTCTTCAACAATCCTGTCCATTACATAAACAACGTCTTTTGGTATGCACTCTTTCTACATTCCCTGTCCGCCTTCCCATTCAAGACTACCTTTTCATTTTTTATGGTTCCGCTATTTTCTCATATAATGACAAAAATTGTCTTCCAGAATTCCAGAAGAGTTAAGCTGTTGGTGGCCTTGTAAGTCATTGCCAGATAGACTGTCTAGTTCCCCAATGGTTATTTATTATTCCCCATCAAATCAATCAATATCTAACTATTTAGTACTCTAGTCAATCTTTTCTTAATTGCTCAAAGAGCGTATTCACGCAGTGTGTATGTATCTCTGCAGATCGAGGATACTGTTTTCCTCGAGTCTCATGCGCATGGAATACAAGAGATGACAAAAAACGATGTTATATAGCCTCTGTGGTTCCAATAGTGTGTATGATCTCACTACTACTACTCTTTGTGGTGATATACTAACTTTAAAGGTCACCGAGTCGATGCTGGTTTGTAGGTCCAAGTCTGCGATTAGTGGTCGTTCAGATTATACCGTAATTTTCGGGACTATAACCCCCTTTTTCCCTATGTTCGGAGCGCTTGCGGCCTGTATATAACCGTGCGTGCTTAATCTAATGGATTTTACAGGCTAACGGCCAACACCTTGTAACTCTATGGGCTCTATGGCGGTCCGCAGCCCTTCCCACCTTTAACTCTATTGGGCTCTA